CAGCCGTACTTAGATTTAGCATTAAACATATCAATGTAAAAGAGATGAATGTTTATAATACATTTGATACCAAACCAATAGTTTTATTTCAAATGGAAGTAAAACTTTATTTACACGCGGTTCTTCTCATCCTTTAAAAACGCACACACGCACAGCTTGAAACAACTGTTTCCAAATTTTTATTATTGAGTTATTTCAATACCAATACAACACAATGTTTAATAAATTCTAATTTTTAATATACTTACAAATATTACATTTGACAGCTAAACGTTTGGATGTCTTCATCAGTAGCAACATAACAATTTTTAGATAAACTTGACAATGAAATGAAACACAACAGACGTTTAACGTCGAACTACAGATGTGTATTGTTTTTGTTTTCATTGTCAAGTTTTTCTAAAAATTGTTATGTTCCTATTGATGAAGACGTTGGAAAACGTCGAAACATTTAGCTGTTAACTGTAATATTTATACGAATAAAAGTATATTAAAAATTAGAATTTATCAAACAACGGAAACTAATTACAAAAAAGATATTAAATTTGACAGATAATTCACTATTAATGTATAATTTGGATGATAAACAATTCGAACTTTGATTCATCTACTGTTGATATTGATCATATAATGTTGCCTCTCTACTAAGAATCTTTATCGCGTTTCATAAAATCAAATAATAAATAAGAATCTTCCATCACATTTACAATAACATATGTCGATAAATTTTCTATACGTATTATTTTACTATTTTGACTACATAGATGAATATTATTATTTTTAAAATGATAATGTAAACCTATTAAAAAGCAATTAATACCAACTGACATTAATATAAATAATTTTGACCATTTATATGGACTAATTTTTGTAGTATCATACAATTCAAATATAATATCAGTTTTTTTACGTACTAAAATAATCAATAATCTTATATAAGACAAAATTGTAACACAAATTAATGTGAAATGTATAATATTTATAATTTGTAAATGATTTGAATTATAAAGACAATGATTTATTTCTCAAAACATTGATAGTTTACATTTGATGTATTAACTATCATCGGTTTATGATCAAATATATCATAAAGATCTATTTCTTGGTCAATGATATGTTTAATGCTAAATCCCAGTGCAGCTA